GCTTTATTTGCATTTCAGACTCCTGATCTAACTCCTTTTAACAGAATGAAGTATGGTAACAGCCAAGCTCATGGAAGACTCTATATAACTGTATCTGTTGTACTGCCACATCCAACTAGTGTACAATAACAGCAAGTCATAAGCGATTGAAATGTAAGTCACTGGCGCAGACCAGACCTTCCAGCTATATAACCGAACATTAACAAATAGCTTTCACATACACAATCAAGGCAAAGTAAGAAATATTTTAATTACAAAATTTGTAAGAAACTTTCTAATATATGAAAGTTAGAAATTGCCACAAGGAAAAAAAAAACCTGTTTACAGATAAAGGAATCTGTTCCCCAATATAAGCTCTAAGATTCTCAGTCTGTACAACATACAGAAGTCTATAGATTTGTTAATAAATAGGTTTATAAAGCCTATACATTATTGCTTGTTTGTAAAGTAGCTTTCATCAAGCTACCGTCCATGACCTTCACCTCCCAGTTTTAATTAAAAAATAAATTTCCCTGGAATGGCCGCTGTCCTGTGACAGGACCATTGGATTTTGGATAGGAACTTTATTTCAAAAAGGAAAAAAAAGCTAGAAAATGATCATCAAGTGTAATAAGTGTCTGGGGGGGGAAATGTACAAGAAAAGTCATATACTCTATATACAAACAAAACCGCTCAACACAGATAAAAGGTCCACAGGTTTTTTTGGTGAAACTGTGACTTGTCAATCCAATAAGATTTGTTATATACAAAATACAAATATATTACACACCGCCCCCATCGTGGAAGACTTTACATAATATACAAGGTGCAGAGTGTACGCAGCAGATGCTACTCCGTTAGTCTTCTGTAGAAAAGGAGATAGGGAGTAGACGTGGACTGAGTGGAGGGGGAAATTGTAGTGAGAAAGTCCCTTTCTTCTGTGACTTTCACTTCCGAGTCATCGAAGAGCAGCCATTTGCCCTCGTACTCCTTTAGAATATGTAACAAGTGTGCAGCAGATTTACTAGAGCAGAGTCCGTCTGAGATAGACTGTACTTTCTGCTCGCTGTCAGAATGCAGGTCGCCATTGGCATCGGACAATCCTTTATCGTCTGATAGACAGCTGGAAACTCGCTCAGTTTTTGGCGTTTTGGCCGTCGGTAGCTGCTCAAAGTCAGATTTACTTTTCTGTCCGCCGAGAAGGCCAACCGCATCAGAACCCTTCTTATTTACTTTACTACTCGATGGTACGCTGGTGCTGGCTCGAAATGAAATTTCACCGTCGTGGTTTTCGTCAGAGGCTTGGACATCCTGCGATAAAGGTTCGGTCTTAATGACGTTGTGGTGGGTGCTGGGGGATTTGATCTGGTCGAGTTCGAAGTTCTGGAGGTCATCAAGTTTTACATAGGCGGTATAATGGCCACTGCTTATCGTCACTCCGCTGTGCATTACTACCCCAAACAGACCGTAGAGATCCTTGGACGGTTTGGTACTCCACTCTTCCAAAGACAGTTGCAAAGGCGTTAACAACGGTGTGTTCACTTTAGAAAGGCCGCCATAAGAGTCAAACCTGTAACAAAAAAAAAACGAAGGTTAGTGCATGTAATCCCCAACAAGGAATGTGAAGCTCCTTTTTGGTTAAGTATACCATTATGAGCTCATTATATCGGTTTGATAAGAACCAAAAAATATCTGTTGAACCTGCCAGAAATCTAGAGACTGACAACTTCCTGTGCTGCACTCAGTCACATTGTTCCAAATCTCTGAACTACAGAACACCTTCCCCTAAGAGTTTTGGAGGAGTCCTGATCTTATGCCAGAAAGACAATGCTGCTTCTCTTTAGAGTAGGGTGAGAGTTGTCACCCTGGGACAGGAAGTATAATACTGGCAGGTCCACAGGCAAAAAAAGGAAACAGCCCCTACCTTCAAGGGCTGGGTTTAGATATACTTTAGCCTAAAGCAAGGATGGGCAAGCTCAGCATGTCAGCTGTTGTGGAACTACAAGTTCCATGAAGCACTGCAAGATTCCAGCAACAGGCATGACTCCCCACAGACATGGTGGGATTTGTAGTGTCACCGCAGCTAGAGTGCCAAGGTAGCCTACCCCTAGGGTCTAAAGTGTCTACCTTCTTACATTATGTCAAAAAATCAAGTACTTATTAGGAGCTTTAACTCTAACCTGCAGGAATTATTTATTGTCTAATGTACTGTAGACAGAAATAATTGTATGCTGGAAGCAGGCTCAACAAGCCGCTTCTTCTTTACAATGCTTCATCACAGCCAATGACTGGTTCTGCATTTCACACGGTTCATGTATTTGGACAGCGGCAGACCAGTGTATGGCCAGCTTAAGTCCAGCAAACCGGTACTGTGTGGACTGTGCTGAGGGGTTGCACTAAAAAGTCTGATTTTCTGCTCAAAAGAAAAAAAATACAAAACCCACTTACTCCGAGCTGTTGGCAGCAAAGCACTTGAGATGGATCGTTACTATTTCCGGGATCTTGTCAAACAAAAGGCTTCTCTCCGCTTCTGTGTAATGATGGCAATTTTCACAGAAATATTTATCCTCTCCAACAATTCTCTCCACTGATGCAAACTGGGATATGGCCCATTTCAAGGTCTTGATTTCCATTCTGGGATCGGGAGAGACTGTTAAGAGAACAAAATGATATGTTTCATCTTCAATAAAATCATCCCGAGTTTGAACTTTGGCTGAAACATTTTTATTGAATATAATTAAGGTGGTCAGGAAATCAATGCAGCATTTTCTAAATGTGTATGAGCAACTTACACCAGACACTGAGCAGATCATTTACTCTGGGTTCACACCTAGGCGTACTGAATATGCACGTTTGTTGCGCGTTTTTACCGCGATCCGCAGTGCGACAAACGCCCGTTTCCGAGGGCTTCTTGGCTGTATCCCAATGGAAACGCGAGACCAAAACGCCCCAAAGAATTACATGTACTTCTTTGGGGCGTTTTGGTCTCGCGTTTCCATTGGGATACAGCCAAGTAGCCGTTTTGTATCGCGCTCGGACGGGTGGAAATACGGCAAGGTGTGAACCAGACCCATTGAATACAATGGGATTTAGATGTTTGAGCGTATTGTAGAGCGTTGAAAGCGCTACAAAACGTTCAGGTGTGAACCAGGCCTCAAGTTTCAGTAGACAATGAAAAAAGGCAGCACAGGAAATCTAATTGGGCGGAGAAGCCCTCCATTGTAAATCATGGAAAGATGCAACAGCCCATATACTCACTGTCTGAGCTCTCCTCCAGTTTGGGGGGATCATTCTCTTGCACGGGCACACTGATATCCTGGAAGTCTTCCCTCCTCTCAGTGAAACACTCGCACTCAAGGCAGCGGGTCCGCAGCACCAGTTGGCCCTGGAACAACTTCTCCACTAGATCAAACTCCGTTGACTCTATAATTAGGAATTAAGATTCATTCAGGTCCAGAAAGTTTCCTTACTGAGCACTTATTACAGAAAAAATCCACACCATGCTAAGAACCAAGAAGTTTAACATGCTTTCTGGGCAAGATTGATTACATACAACTTATTTTAATCACCCGAGTACTCCGGTGATAAGTTATCACAATGCAAGTTTCCAGATCTGTCCTTTGTCACAGCCATTCTAAAACCAGGAGGATGAATGGCATCATGCGCCCTTGATAAATTCTATGTCAAGCACCTTATGACTGAGAATCGATAAATGACTGATTTCATAAAATGGGCTGGAGACCATCTGATATACATATGCGCTATAGAGTAACCCACAAGCATCTTCCTGTTAGTTTTGCATGGGGTTTGTCTTTATGACTTCACATTCCATTATTAGTTTGGGAAACTGCAGTACAGATAAGAAATAACATACATTTTACTTCCTTGACAAATTCCAACTCCATGTAATGTACTCCATGTAATGTGCTCCCTTTGACATGTGCCCCTGTCTGGGTAAAACAAATGATAAAATACTAAGAAAGGTACCGTGCACTATAGTTTTATTTTCCAACCCCTATACCACTACAGGACTCCGCAGTGACAGAGGCCGGAGGATGGAACCACAGCACATGACAGGCATCTGACACTTCCAAAAGTGCTGAATGTTAAAAGAGACCGATTTAAGCTGCCATGCTGGAATAGAGGGGGGGAAAAAAAAAGGCAACCAGCCAGAGGCAAGTATAAGAGCTTTTCTAATGCAGGGCACCTTCCTTCAGTATTTTTCTTTGTTTTACCCCCGACAGGGTCACTCAAGCTGCACCTCAGGGAAACAGCATCTCTGTAGGAACCCATTGCATTACCAGGAGCATTGTTGCTTCACCAAATTGACCACAATCTCTCAATTATTCCACATTTAATTTCTTTTTTTTTTTTACAGCCAGAGAGCATGTAGCCTTCGTTTTCAATGTCAGCAGTAAGTTGCACTGATAACTATACATCCCGGCCATAGGTACCAGGGATGCCGCTGCCTCGTTTGCCTATAGTATATAGATTGTATAATTAGGCTTTAATCTGACCAGCATGCAGACCCCTTTGGTTGTGTGGCTACATACACTTTAAGCCAAACATGTAACATATTGCAGCTTGCTAGTACTTATATGCGGTGGCCGCTTTGGTTTTCTTTGTCTCCCCTTTATTTTCACCTAGTGATCTCGCCAGTATCCATGAGGTGACAATGCTTACACACGGTACAGTATAGTTAAGCAACATTGCCACTACTGCAAAACAGAACACCTCCGCCTTCCGCACAACACAGGGAGGTGCTCTTTAGTTCACAGGTGAACTAAGCAGGGTTGGCAAGTGAACAGGGCAGCATTGGATTTTTGGCAACAGGTATTTGTTGCACTTACTACACAAATATACCACTGAAAGTGCTTTAACAGACCAACGTGAAGCAAATAGTTCATTGAGAGGGCTTACATACACTAAGGTCAGTGACTTTTGAAATCCTTTAATAAATGTGTATGAGACCTTACTTTAAGCAAGAATGAGAAGATATATCCGACAACTAACCATTCTGTGACGTCTCCGTATCTTTGCAATCCCCTTGCTTGTGGTCATCATTATCCTTCACTGGCTCCTCACTAACTGTCCTCCCAGCCTCTGGATTTATACTTTGGGTATGGTGCTCAGCTGGAGGACTTTTAGGTGAGGTGCTGGAGCTTCTACTTAAGTTACAGAACTTGGATAGAATACTAGGTTGTTTGCCAGACTTCAGCCAGTTCAGGCCTAATCTGGATTTCTTATGAGTAGGATTGGAAGCAGAACTCTCAGCACTAGTTTTAGAACCAGCCACCTTGTCATCTTGTTTATCAGGCTTCCTCTTAGATCTGGTCACCCTCTGCTCCTCCGGAGGTGGCTCTTTCGATATCTTTGTCCTTTTCTTTGCATTACCAACTTCGGTCTCATTCTTGCGTTTTCCACTTGCATTTGTTTCGGCATCAGTCCCTGCACATGAAGAATCATCCTGAAGCTTCTCCATGGTGACAGCTGGGGACTCACCAGGATTGGGTCCTTTTTCAGGCTGCGGTTTGGCTGCATCTGGCACTTTTAAGCTTTTCATCTCCTTTTTGAGAGCCTGACAAGCTTCTTGTATGTTTCCCAATATGCACTGCAAGACCTCCTGTGCATCATGCTGAAGATATCCTTCATACATGGGATTAAGCTCTCTATTGAAAAAAACATGTATATGCATTAGAATTTTAACACCAGAGGACAAGCACGGAACAAAGACAACGGTCCTGAATTGCACAATTTTACCAAATAATGCAGTCACATAATTTTTCTCCCCAAATGTATTTAGTTGATATACTGGAGTTCCTTTTTAAAAGCATCTACAGCTAACACCTTTGAGATAAAGTATTGAAGGGATTAAACTCCAATCACAGCAATTTGTTTCTGGGGAGATTTCCCGAAGGCACAACCAGAGTTAACGGTCTCTCTCATTTAGTGAACTCCCCTATTAAGACAGTTGTTCCCCATTGGATTTCCCCTTACTCATTTCCATTGTCAACTGTAAAATTCTGAATTGCCCATCACTTACTGTACTGGTGACAAAAAAATGAATTAAAAAAAGCCCAATTTTGGGAACACTGGAGAAAAAAAAAGAAAAAAGAAAACCAACCGCACTTGTACCATCCAAATTTCAAGGCAAATTTTTAAATACAGCCGACAACACCAGCACTGGATTATACCTTAATGTACCAAGGAGTCTCCTTGGCTGAGCAGCAAGTTCACTGTCATAATTTTCTGGATTCAATAGGAAGTTAAGCTGTAGGTGTTCAGCAGAGTGAACCAGAGAGCTTAGGCTGCAGATAACGTCGTAGCTGGCTGGCAAGTCTTCCTTCACACTATCCTGTACAATAAAATGAGCATTACAGTTTACAAAAACATGCAAGTTCATTGAAACCATAAAGCAAACAGTATTGGGTTGATTTACCCCCAGTAGAGACGGTTTTACTTATCGTGAGCATTTAATAAACTTGGTAAATATGGTGAAAATATTAAATACTCAATCCGCACATTTTAGACATAACAAAATGTATGAATCATGCAAAAGAAATTGCTGGGGGGAGGACAATCTTTTTTGCAGAAGAGACTTTGCATTTCTTCGGCCAAAAATACTGACCTCCCAGCATTTGTTTTTACTTCCACTTTATGCATGGCACAATCATTGTTTATGTATGTAGACCCACTTGCTGTGTGTTTATGTTCATATGCACAGGGGACTTACATGTATGACAGGAATGTAAGTGATTGGACGGCTTTACATCTGCCTGAATCACTTCCAGCGTAAAGCCAACAGTCAGTTGTGCACATATAAAACAGACTCATGGCTAGTATAGCAGCCAAGGGTCCGCTTTACAGAGGCCTGCTGCCACCAACGTATGGCACACATTGGTGACAGCTCTATATCTCGATGGCTGTCCTGGAAGATGACTGGGGAAAAAGGGGTTAAATTGATCACAGCTTCACAGTATTTAGTAAGCTCAGTGAATGGGTCACTTTGCCAAGTGATTTATTCTTTATATCAATACATAAGAATTAAACACCTTTTTACCTTTTCAAGTGTGTGTTCTTTGTCATCCTTGAAGGTCTCCCTCTTCTTGGAAATGACATCACACAAATGTTTAATTCCACTTTTAAATCTGGGGCAGTAACATAAAACCTGAAGTTGTAAGGGGACATGGTAAGTTTCAGACAATAACCAAATGCCAACTCATGTAATATCAGAACACACTGTTGGCTATGTACCTGAAGAACGCTGTTAAGGTAGCATGTGTTGCCAAGGTTACTGAACCCTACAAATGGAACTAGGCCTTCTTTCTTCACGCAGCAGACAGGAGGAGGGGACAACTGAGCAGCAGGCACTACTTGATCAGAGCTGGAAAAGAAATTGCAATCAGAAAAATACATCTAAAATCATTTATTTTACATGCAACCAAAGTACCTCTCAACATACAGTAAACCTATGGCATGAAGACCTGACAGGACACAAACCGTTATGAACTTTGGTTAAACTACTGAAATGTGCATGTTAAAGCGACCCTGTCACTCTACAAAAGCTTAATAGGAAAGTAATTGTAACCTGTAATGTTGAAGTCAGCAGGAGGAACCAGAAGATCAACACTCGCAGAAGTGTCATTTTCCCAGCAGGCAATTTCTCATGAACAATGCGGGGTTCGGTAGCACAGGCAGCGGTAGTATTTACACTTTTTACAGATACAGCTTTTATGGCGAACTTCAGCATACCGGCAGGGTGGCTTTAAATTGGACCTGCCGTGGTCTACACCATTTCTAAAATTGACATCTTGTGGTGCTCTCCAATACCTGCAATAAGCTGCCCACACACCTTAAAATTTATCTGCAGATTTTCTGTGGTCAGATGGAAAAGGTGCAACACATTCCTCCATCTACGCTAAACTGTGTGGATGGACTAATCTCCACCTGGGCCATCTGTTGCACTTTTTCCATCTGACCACACAAAATCTGCAGATAAATTGTAAGGTGTGTGGGCAGCATTAGACTGATCCCTAGGAGGAAGCCCCCTCAGTTTTTAGGCCCAGGCTTTGGCTTCCTATGCAAAAGGACAGGCTTAAACTTGACTTGGGCAACTGCTCTGTTTTCTTTGCACATCAGCATTACAAAATCTTAATCACATCTTGAATAAAACACACTCCTTTCTTGCTATCCTATACTTCCCAGACAAGTCTAGATCACATGGTCCCCAACTAACAATCAAAACAGCAGAGTCTGTTTCCAGTCAGAAGGGAGTCAAGAGGCTCAAGAAGGTTACTGCAACAGATAATGAAACTACACAGGCAGAGTTTGTAAGACATTAAGACACTGGTAAGACTGTTATCATTAAAGTGACAGTCACAGAAAACCACTAGCAGATAAAGTGAAGGCATCTATATCTGCAGCAGTTCTATGATCAAATATCTAGTAGTTTTGATCAGGCAGAGCTCCAGTACATCCTGCAATTGGCTTACCTGTCCCCTCCACCTTGATATTCCTAAAGGTCAGTGAGGCAGCCTGACATTGTATGGACCTATAAGAGAAGGAGGGACTTGGGAAGCTCAGATGCTACCCAGAAGTGCAAGAGCTTTGCCATTTCAGAACAACCCATCATTCAGGTACCGAAGGGGCAATGAAAGCTGCTGCGGGTATGTGTGCGCACCTATAGGTTTCCAGAACTTTACACCTGCAATTTTTTTTTAAATTATTATTATTTCTAGTGAAAAGAGTGCCCAAGTTTATCTTTTTTACAGGTATATCAAAACTACAGAACTACAGTCAACACAAAGATTGTACGTGCTCAACAGCAATTAATACAGACAACGTTTTTATATGAACCAGATATTAATTACACCGGCATTAATACAAGTAACGAGCCCAGATCTAAAGATAAAAGGCTGCTTACGCTTCTGGCTCTTTCTCCTCCACGTTCTGGCTTTCAGCTTGTGGCGTTTCAGCAAAGTCTAAAGTCCTCTTCGTTTCCTTCTTCTGGAAGAAGCGCAGAGATAGGCGGTTCTTTCTGGTGGGACTGGCTTTGGCCAGGACAGTTTGACTTTCACATTGGGTAACCCCTGGCATTTTCCTGGCCTTGGGCTCCAATGCCAGTCTATACTGGCAGGTTGCTTACGGATCAAAACAGGTGCCTATAGGAACACAAAAGCATTGTTCAAACACCTTAAACATGACTCAGTTTAATTAGCTTCATATTACAAATACTATCCTGATAATCTATCAATTAAAAGTAGAACCAAAGGCAAAACTTTCACTTTGGATAGAGTAAGGGAGGGTTAGAACACATCAGGGTTCTTTTTTGCCATCTCTAACCCATTGAGATTTCCTATCACTTCCTGTGCAATAGCTACAACAGGAAGTGAGGGAAATCACTGGCGATCACCAGAACTAAAGTCCTTAATTGAAGATTTCCCTATCTATTCCTGGTGCCAACCTCAGGGAACTAAGATGTGAGTGAAAATCTGAATGGTGTAGAGATTTCATAAACTCGATACCAAACATGTCAAGCGTGAAAATTGTGCATGCCCATGCAATGGTAGAAAAGCTATGGTACTCAAAATTGTCCGTAGATGACACTTTAAGAGCCTTTACTGCTCATCCGTTTAGAGTTAAGCAAATTATGGCTTTAGAATTATTGCTCTCACTGTGACCTTCCCGATGATACCCAACATGGGTGGCAAAAGCATAATTTACATGCACGTGCATGCCCTACACATGTGTTTATTCACATGCAATGCCAGGTGTGTGATGCAGGTTCTATTTTATGTTCACTTAAAAACTTTATTGCCATCAAAAAGAGGCTAAAAATCCCCTATGCGTTAGCATTCAGGAGGTGACTGGTTCTCTTTAAGGAGACATCAGGGTCTATTTGGCCCTCCAATACAGATGATCTAGCACAGGATTGAGTATTTGCATGCCAAAAAATTATTTTATTTTATTCCACAGGGCCTCTGCTTGGGGGGGGGGTTACGTAGTCTTCAAGCCTGAAAAGTGCAAAAAGCTCCAGCAGTAAAAGGTTAACATGACAGGTAGCTCTGGGCATTGTAGTTCCTCAGCAGGTGCATCACCGTGGCAGAGACATACGGGGGATAACTAGAGACATGTTCCCTTTCTCAGTCGCCTCATGCAGTGACATTAAGCCTCCATGGGGACTCTGCGGAGGCTGAAGCGGGTACAGAGTGCAGGAAATGGAGGGAAAACTTCCTAGACAAGAGCTCCATAGTTGCGGAGAACGCTTCCACAGACACCTGCATCCCCGCCCGCATAATCCTTCCTCCAGCAGCCGGCCAGGATACGTGAAGTAGGGCGGGGACCGCCCCCATTGCTAGCCGCTTGTTGCGCGCACTTCAAAAAAAAAAAAAAAAACAAGCCAAGAAGGGGAGGGGGAGCTCGGGCACCTCACACACACAGCACCGATCAACGTCCCCCAACGCCGCACGAAAGTACCTGGCGACCCTCAGCACCTTCCGGCCCCTCTCTGGCGGGAAACCATTCACCACAACATCAAGGGTCGCCTCACGTTCTCTCCACAACTTACGCACGCACGCCAGTCCCAAGCCGGAACCCGCCTATCTTTGCGCAATGACGTCACCACGTACGACGACGGCGGCCGCCTGCGCTTTCACTTTTTGTTGAGGAGAACGCAGGGCCGGGTTCTGGTTGGCTGCTGCGCCGACACGTGAAGGGGGGCGGGCTGCGCAGGACCACGGACAAGGAATCGGATTGGTGGAGAGGGGAGGTGCTCGCTGTGTTTGAAGGGGGACGGCGGTTGGGGAGGGATTTGGCGGGAAAGGGAGGGGGGCGTGGTAGTGGAGGAGGTGATTTACTGGAATATATGTGGTGGGTTGGATGATGAGGCGGTCGTTGCCGTTGTGTTTCGAGGCTGCATTAACGTTAGCGTCGTGTGCAATGTATTTCCTATGAGAAAGAAGGATTAGAATACCCGATAGCAATGTATGAGTGAAAACGGCCTTAGTTACCTCATAAAAGCGTATAGCAGTTCAGTTTGGCCTAGTTTTATAAATACTTTATAGGACAAAAGGGTAATTATCTGCTGGTGAGCATATCTACAGCCCAAACCTTTATTTTTTTACATTCTGGATGTAGTATATGAGTATTAGAACCCCTATCTGGCAGTCTGTATACCCACATGAGAATTACATTCACTTCCTGTCCCAGAAAATAAACCAGGAAGTGAGAAGAAATCTCTCCAAGGGGTGGGAAAACCCCCCCCCCCCTTAGGAGTTCACACAGAAAATGTGTCATGTGGCCAATCATGCACAGTGTGAATAAGCCTAAAGATGGAATCTTCCTCACCTCAGAGAGATTTCCTCTCACTTCCTGTTTTTCTTTCTGGGTCAGGAAGTGTAGGTAATTCTCCCCACAAGGGTACACAGACAGCTGGAAGAAAAACTCAGATGGGATTCTAACCCTCCCTTAGGCTACCCAAATTGTCAAAAGGTTGTGGCTGTATTTGTGAGGAGAATCCGCTCTTCGGGCTCGTTATTGTGCAGGTAATAGTACGTGCACATTGCATTCCAATGCGTTGTTATACATTGCCGTGCTTGCTTTTTATTTTCCTTTTAGTGCCTCAATGCGTTGTGTTACTGTGTGTCGGAACGCACTGCAGGAAACTGCAGCATGTGCTTTACCAGCGTGCGCACACCGATGCAGCATCTTGATGTGAACTGAACGAGGACAGAAGGGCGACAGAGCCTTGGGCTGCTGTGTCTTCGGTTGCCCATGGCCTCCCGGCGGCAAAAGTCACCGGGAGTCTGTTTAAACAGCCCCGATGCTGGCGACGTACACTGTACGTCGTCAGTCACGAAGGGGTTAAAAGAAATGTGTAACATTTGTCATATATTCATATTTTGAAAATATTGCTACTGGGTTTCCCCCCCCTACATCAGGGGTAGGCAACCTCAGCGCTCCATTCCAAATCAACATCATTCCTCTGACTCTGGGGGTCATGGCTGTGGCTGTCAGTCTTGCAATGCCTCATGGGACTTGTAGTTTTACAACAGCTGGAGTGCCGAGGTTTGCCCACCCCCTGATCTACATCAATATAACAAGCGGTAGCATTCCCCTTATGTTTTTGTGGGTAAGCCCGCCACCTGCTGACCGCTGTTGGCAAAATAAATAAATAGGAAGAATACTTTGTATTTATATACCGTATTTGCCGGCGTATAAAACGACCCCCTAATTTTTCTTTTAGGTTTTGGGCTATACTCGTCGTATAAGACGAGTATAGCCCACAATAATGTTTAAATACACCCGCTAACCTCCTTGGCGGTATTCCCGAGTGTGGCTCGGGGTTAATTTTCAGTACCATAAGCCACACTCGGGATAACAGTCTCTTACCTTGTCCACGATCCCCGCTGTGTCCTCCGTCTTCCGGGTTTCCGTCCCTTGCAAGCGTCCGCGTCGCAGGGGGGGCGGAACTGGCGGGAATTTTAAAAGTTAAAAAAATAGAACAAAAAAAATAATCAGACCGCCAGGGAGGCTAATCTGTCAGCCCGCTGTTTGTGCAGTAATACTGTATGTACGGTAGCTTTGGCTACATACAGTATACCGCGCTGAGCCAATCACGGCAGGCTTTGTATTCATTAATAGAGTACATCCCTCGCCGTGATTGGCTCAGCGCGGCATACTGTATGCAGCCGAAGCTACCGTACATACAGTATTACCGCACGTCCAGCGGTATTGTATACCCGGCGTATAAGACGACCCCCCTTGGCAACCAATCAGCTTCTCTCCAGTTTGCTCAGTTAAAATTTGAAAATGAAAGAGAAAGAAGCTGATTGGCTGCAGTGCAAAGCTGCTCCAGATTTTGTCTGTCAGTTTTTACATTCCCCCCGGTAACCTCAGGTATGCAGCAAAAGTAGGAGCAGGTCCCCGGCCGTATTCACATGGAGAATTGTTTCAAACTAGTAAGAGGATTCTACAATAATGGGTAGGAAAAGGGAGGTTACATAACCTTCAATAAAGATAGATGGGTTTCGTCATTTCCCATAGTAACCCTAAGCATCAAAGTTGTAGCAGGACCCAAGAAGAGAGGAGGCAACTAAAGAATCAAAAAGAAATGAAAAGAGCAAATTGTAGAGTTTGAGTAGGTGGAGAAAATGCCCTTCACCCTGTACAGGGCAACACGCTACATGTGAATGAGGGGTATCTAGCCGGTAAGCTTGACTCCAGCCAAGAGCTTTTTGTAAATAACATTTTTTCTCTCGTTTCTTTCTCTCTCTCTCTCTCTCTCTTTTCTTTCTCTTCTTTCTCTCTCTCTTTTCTTTCTCTTTTTCTTTCTTTCTTTCTCTCATTTCTTTTTCTTTCTCTCTTTTCTTTCTTTTTCTCTCTCCCTCTCTTTTCTTTCTCTCCCTCTCTTTTCTTTCTCTCCCTCTCTTTTCTTTCTCTCCCTCTCTTTTCTTTCTTTCTCTCTCTTTTCTTTCTTTCTCTCATTTCTTTTTTTCCTCTCTTTTCTTTCTCTCCCTCTCTTTTCTCTCTTTCTTTCTTTTTCTTTTTTCTTTCTCTCTCTTTTTTCTTTTCTTTCTCTCTCTTTTCTTTCTTTCTCTTTTCTTTCTTTTTCTCTCTCTTTCTCTCCCTCTCTTTTCTCTCTCTTTTCTTTCTCTCTTTCTCTCTTTCTTTTCTTTCTTTTTCTCTTTTCTTTCTCTCTCTCTCTTTTCTTTATTTCTCTTTTCTTTCTCTCTCTTTTCTTTATTTCTCTTTTCTTTCTCTCTCTTTTCTTTCTTTTTCTTTCTCTCTCTCTTTTCTTTCTTTCTCTCTTTCTCTCTCTCTCTCTTTTCTCTCTCTCTCTCTTCCTCTCTCTCTTTTCATTCTCTTTCCTTTCTCTTTCTTTTCCTCTCTCTCTCTTTCTTTCTTTCCTGCATTTTCACTGACATGGTTGCCTGGATTTAGGTACATCACAATAATGTTCTGAGATGCATAAAATACTACATATCTACCATGTTGTTTTTCCCCCCCTAGTCACCGTGTACAAAAGCTGGCATGCGAGAAACCGAAGAACCAGAGGTCTGTGCTGCAGTAAAATGACTTTTCTTTTGCGGCTATTTGCATAAACCGATGGAGAACACACAAGCTGCAGAGAGTGACTGACAATACAGTGTTCTGTGAG